AGCACTCAGTAGCTATGACGTCACACTAACCTTGCTCTTGTCTGTAGGCTACACTGTACTACAGTGGGAAGGGAGAGCAGTATTGTGGTATTAGATTACGTACACTTTATTCAGAGGCTCCAAGTAGCAGGCTTACCATTATCCTCTTGCTTCCAAGGAGGATTCCAATTAATGCACAGCATCCACGTGGGGGAGGAGCTAGTGACCCTGCGCCTGCGCATAACACACGCGATCTCATAGCATGGCGAAGGGAAAGAGTCGAAAAGTGAGTTGCTGAAGAAAGACAAGACCCAGATTGATGCTTTTAGTAGAGCACCATTAGTCCCACCGCTTTTTCTGTTTTATTCAGGCAGCAAAGAGAGAGGATGGAAGCAGGGAGGAAGAGGTGGGGGTGGTTTGTCATGGCAATTGGGTGAAGTAACTCTCTCTCTCTCTCTAACTGTTGTATGTTGTTGGGACAGGGGGAGATGAAGGAGAGGAGTAAGGAGAGAATAGGGAATGAGGGAAAAGAATATGATGATGGAGGTAGTAAGCCACAACCACCAGTTGCTAGGAAACAGCAGAGGTCTACGAGGAATGTTAGAGGAAGAGGGAGAGAGGGAGGGGGACGAGGAAGAATGCCAGTGCATTACGTCGTCTTGCCAGCTCTGCTGTTTGGGGGTGTGGCTATTGTCGTGTATTTTGGAGAGATGTGGTGGGCGGGGCCTGGAGTCAACAAGCCCCTCCCACTTCCTCGTGCAGTATCGGAGACATGGCGTAACGACAGTGTCTATCTGACTAGACTCTGGGGCACATACAGGTGATGTCATCCATTTTACAGGTCTTGTGCATTGTGAACTTTTATGTTTATCAATGTAGTGTTGCTATGGTGATTGTGAACTTGTATGTGTTGTGTCAATGTAGTGTTGCTAGTGGTGATGTTTACCCCGTGGTCAACGTGTATTTGGGATCAGGCCCCGCGTCCCACGCTCCCTGCTGGCAGGATGATTGGATAGTAACGATGGTAGTGGGAGGTGGAGATACCAAAGCTGTCAGCATGGCGATGATCTGCGGCAGTATGGGTGGATACGACATGATGGTACCAGCTACGGACAGCAGAGGATTGTCGACCATGGTATGTATGTATAGTAATGGATACACCGTGGGGTTGTCAGGGAATAAGTATGTTCCTCTTGTGTATATACTTTTCCACTGATGAGAGACAATTTTGACTAATAAGTATTCATAATTGGCACTGATAATGGTAGGGCACCTCTCTCATAAGGCACAACACAAGAACTTAACAACTGTTTTGACATTTTCTGAAGCACCTCTTTAAGGACACCCCTGAAATGACGACATTCTATCTACTCTATTCTGTTTTATTGGTGTATATTAATAGTATCCCCTGACGACAAGCCCCGCCCACTCACAGAAATGATGCTAGAGACAGAGTTCTTAACGATGGCCAACACCAGTCTGGGGGAGACCTGGTCGGCTCGTATCCGGGGAAACCCTGTCCAACGACCAATTCTGACTTCCCTCATCGTCTACCTCTTCAACGAGGGGAAAGGAGAGATGGCTTACAGAACCTCCGGAGGTCAAAGGTCACTGGAAGAGGTCTATGGCCACACCCCCGAGGTATGTAACGAGCTGTATACAACAGAAAGATGAAAATTTGGGACAGAAGAAAGTGTGTCCATATTAGTGAGGTGTCCTTGTTTCAGGGGTTGAACTGCATGTAGAACTGTACTTGGGGAAAGATAGGTGTCTTTAGAGAGGTGTCCTCATTTCAGGGACTACTGTTCATTGTAAAATGTCCGTTTTTTTCAATCGTCTTGTCGCCAGTTCCGTCAGTTCAGACTGTACCTACCGAGGAAGACGGTTGCAGACGAGGCCCACCACAGCTACCTCGCTGCCCGCGTGGCCTCACCCACTCACCTGGACTCATTCTTCAAGTGAGACTCTCCCTGCATCCATGATGTCATTGCCTTACTCGATCCTGTGCGATCTCTCTCTCGCCAGGTCGGTAATGGTGGTGGAAGAAGGGCCTAGAACGTGGCCACCTCTACCCTCCCTCCCTGGGGAAATCACCCCTGACGACGGGGGCCCCCTCAAACCAAACCTCGTTGCCTACCAGGTCTGTTGCCGTCTCTGAAAAAATCACCCTCTTTGTTTTGTCCCAACGAACATTACGACATCTCTGAATATAGGACACGTGAAGGTTCTGCATCATAGTAATGCATTAGTGTATTATACTACCTCTAAATAAAGCACACTCTCAATGTCCCCAAGGTGCCCCTTATTCAGAGGTTCCACTGTAGCAACAGCTCCCTCTGATTTCGCAATAGTAGGTGACAACGACGGTTCCGTTTGAGCTGGACATCGTCATGGAGACGGGGTTGTTTAGCACGGTGATGAGTGTGAGTGGTGAGAGGTTGAGCAGTGCGCTGGAGAAGAAGGAGAAGAACTTTGACCTCCGATTCGAGGACACCTTCCACCTCAAAGAGAAGGTTAGTGAGAAGAGAGGGAGGGAGATGTGCGCTGAGTAAAAGACTGTCTCCCACACAAAAGTAGCTAATTTCCCAATTATGCTCTTGTCTTGAAGGGAATAGAAAAGGAACATTTAAGAGGTAACCTGACAAACATTAAGTTTGTAGGTTGAATTCTACTATACCAAGGAAATGTTTTCGGACTTTTAGGCTTTGTATTATACAATACACTCTTATACTTTTTATTTAACAATTTCTAATTATGAAAGATTAAAGTTTCAAATCAGAATCGTAAATATTGTCATAAAATGAAGACTAATTTTATAGAGTCTGTAGGTTCCTCGAGTGTGCATAATTCCATCTCTGCTCAGGGGTTGAATGAGTCTGAGATAGACTGTGCCAGAGCGCTTCTAGCAATCTGATTGGAGTGGCGATCTACCTACTTCTTCGGCAATGCAAAGTGAAGTGAAGATTGAAAACATATTTTCGAAGAAGGAGGAAAGAGGAAGCGGTGGCAAACGGGTAGGGGGTAAGAAGTGGCGAGTTGGGGAGAGTGGCGGAGCGGAAGCAGGAGCGCGAAGACAGTTCGGCGGAGTAGCCTGGCGAGGGACGGGGTAGTGGTGGACGATGGATGGCGGGGGGTGGGATCGGTGAGAAGCACCGGTGGGGGAGGGTAGGGTTGGAGGGAGCGAGGAGGGGGCGGATGGAAGGGTGGGGGGAGGGCAGCGATAAACAGGGGGAGGGGGGGGGGTGGGGGGGGGAGAGGGCCAGGGGGAGGCCAGGGGGAACAGAGCGGAGGGAGCTAGGTGAGGCAGGGGAGGAGAAGGGCAGGCAGGGGAGGGGGCGGGCGATGGGTAGGTAGGGGGAGAGCCGAGCGAAAGGCGGGGGCAGAGGAGGGGGGCGATGGGGATCAGATGGGGAGAGGGGGGGAGGGGGGAGGCGGGCGGGGGTAAGGGAGGGGGCGGGGGGGGGCATGGGAGGAGCGGCGGGTGGGAGAGAGGATAGAGGGCGGCTGAGGGAGGGAAGGCGTAGAGAGGGGGAAGGAGAGGTGGAGGGGGCAAGGGGGGGACGAGGGTGGGGAAGCGAGGGTGGGAGGGGGGCAGCGCGGAGAGGTCAGAGGCGGAAAGGGGGGCACCAAGGCGCAGGCGGGGGGGCGGGCGTAAAGCGATGGGGGGAAGGACAAGGGAGGAGAGCAACCAGGAGAGGGGGAAGTAGCGGGGAGCGAGGAGGCCCAAGGGGACAAGATGGAAGGCAGGCGGAGCGTGGGGGCACGGGGGCGGGGGAGAGGCAGAGGAGGGGGTGAGGAGGGGGGGGGAGGAAAAGAGGGGCAGGGAGCAGGCGAGGAGCAGCAGGAGGAGCAGAGGGAAGGGGCGGGACAGAGCGAGGGCGTGGGGAGGGCGGGGGGGAGGGGAGAGGAGAGGGGGGGAGGTTGGCGGAGGAGGCAGCGCGGAGCGGCGAGCGTGAAGGGGGCCAAGGGCAGGCGACCAGTAGGGGCGCACAGGGGGAGGAGCCGAGGGGCGAGCGGAAGGAGGGGCGGATAAAAAGAGTGGGGCACAAAGCGGGAGGGAGGGGGGGGCGCGAGGAGGGCGGGGGAGGGGGGGCGGTGGGGGACACACGAAGGGGAAAGGGACTACCGGCGCGAGCGGCGGAGGGTAGGGAGGGGCAGGCAAAGGGAGCATAAGCGGGGCAGGAGGGGCTGATGGAGTCAGGGTGGGGGCAGGGGCGGAGGAGGCGGGGGGGGCAAGGGAGCAGAGGGAGGCGGGGGCCAGGCAGGGGGGCGGAGGATGGGGGGCGGCGAAAAAGGCGGGCGGAGGGGAGCAGAAGGGCCGCGAGAACAGAGGGGGGAAGGAGAGAGGGATGGGAGCGGAGGGCTCTAAGGTAAGAGGGACAGGAGAAAAGAGGGGGGGGCACGAGGAGGGAGGAGGGGTGGCGGGGAGGGCGAAGGAGGGGGAGAGGTGGACGAAGGGGGGGAGAAGAAGGGGTGGAGGACGGCGAGGGCGGATATTTCTTTTAAGTACTTAGTGATTATAATCCTCCTCATATTTTTAATTTTATTTATTTCTCAATTTATTATTCCCCTTATATGAAAATCCTCAGTTATTTAGCTCAATTCCACAGAGTTATAGCAGGGATCTCGACGAACCGGTGTGTGGTGGTAAGTCACATGAGTAGTCACAGGCAGTGGTCACATGACCAAATCCCGGTGGTCACATGACTATCATGTGATGGTCACCTGACCTGCAGGACTACTGGCCGGCAGCAGAGCTGTACAAGGGGCGGTTGGACGGGGCGTTCCATCACGTCCTTCTTCCCTCGAGGATTCTAGTTGTGTGATGTGGTGGATGAGTGCGTTTCCTTACCAGGTGCTTGTGGCTCACTGGGACACCTCCATCACCAGGCAACCAGCTCCTCTCACTTCCCTATTCCAGTCCACCTTTGACGTTGTATAGCGTCGTATTTCACAATGGCACACTGGTTCCATTGCAACTAAAAATAGCTTAATACTTCCTTTTTAAGTAGTTTTGAAAGAAGTAATCCCTCGTTGCCCACTTATCTCATAATCGTGTGCTGTTACGTTCACATGTAGCGATCGTCTCTCTCCTCTCCTCCGCCTCCTCTCCTCTATCCCTCCTCTACATCCTCTCCCTCTCTGTAGGATGTGTTGGCATCACTGGCGGGATCTCATTCAAAACTGTGAAGGATGGATACCAGGAGCAGATCCTGGGACACGAGGCCGGGAGCAGGAGTAAGGTATATGCTCAAATTAAGTACAGTGAAACCTCTAAATAATGCACACCTTGAAGCGTGTCCTTATTGAGCAGTATCTGAAATAGTATTGAGAGGTACACATAGTGTACAGTCATGGGCAGAACAAGTGTCCTTTAGAGAGGTGCTCCTTTATTCGGCAGGTCTTTGTCACCTGTGATAATCCCCGTGCTATATAGTGTGTGTATTAGCACTGGATTAAAACAAGTATCCTTTATAGAGAGGTGTGCATTATTTAGAGTGTCACTAATTATTTCCTCTCTCTCTCCTCCCTCCCTCCATGTCCGAAGGTTCCTCCTGAATTCATCGTCCAACACAACGAGAATGCCAACCCGCCCACATTCTTCCTCACCATGGAAACGCTATTGTCTCGTATGGAGTCGGAGGGGAGGGTTGACATGGAGTACCTCGACTCCGTTTACCCCAGACTCCAAGTCTGGTACTCATGGTTCAACTCCACACAGGTACCTAACTCGTTTGACCAGTTTACCTGAACTACACCTTAGCATTGCCTTTCTTTTTTTGTCCTTTTTATTCCTTTTTGTGTTTTTGTTGTCTTTTGACGAATTATTTGTTTTGTATTGTTTTTGTGTTTGTAGTCGGGGCAACGACCTCTGACCTATCGTTGGAGAGGTAGAAATGCCACCACTGACAGGGAACTGAACCCTAAGGTATGCAGACGAGGCTCCGGCATTAGAGGTGATGTAATTATGACGTAATGATGATGTAATCAGACACTGACGTCCGGGCTGGATGACTCTCCGAGAGCCACTCACCCTGCCACTGATGAGTACCACGTTGATCTCTACTGCTGGATGACTCTTGCTAGTGGTGTGATGGCCAAAATGGCCGACCTCCTCAATAGTTAGTATCTCTCTTTCATATCTATTCATGTCGTCTTCCCTCTCTCTCTCTCTCTCTCTCTCCTCTTCTGTTCTTATCTCACTGGTTCACGCAACACTTTGATGTTTGTATCTCACGGTAATCTTCATATCTCTCTCTCCCCTCTCTCAGAGGACTCCAGTTACTACTGGGCCACTTACAGAGCTCTAGCTGACCCCAGGAACCTTGACTCACTACACTGGGACAAACACACCATGGTAACCCCTTGCCTTGTTGACAGTTATCTCCAGCCATAGTCAAAGTATTTATGATGTACTTCCCCCAACTTCTTGCTTAAAGTACGAACAATTTAGGCCACCCTATTCTTTCACTGCACACTCCAGCTATAGTCAATGTATTCAGGATGGTTGGTTGGTCTGTCCTTCCCCCCACTTGCTTGCTAAAAGTACAAACAATTTAGGCCACCCTATTCTTTCACTGCACTCTCCAGCTATAGTCAAGGTATTCAGGATGGTTGGTTGGTCTGTCCTTCCCTCCACTTGCTTGCTAAAAGTACGAACAATTTAGGCCACCCTATTCTTTCACTGCACACACTTACAGAGCTCTGGGACAAACATACCATGGTACCCCTGCCTTTTGACAGTTATCTCCAGCATAGTCAAAGTATTTGTATGACTGTCCTTCCCCCACTTGCTTGCTTAAAGTACGAACAATTTAGGCCACCCTATTCTTTCACTGCACTCTCCAGCTATAGTCAAGGTATTCAGGATGGTTAGTTGGTCTGTCCTTCCCCCCACTTGCTTGCTAAAAGTACAAACAATTTAGGCCACCCTATTCTTTCACTGCACTCTCCAGCTATAGTCAAGGTATTCAGGATGGTTAGTTGGTCTGTCCTTCCCCCCACTTGCTTGCTAAAAGTACAAACAATTTAGGCCACCCTATTCTTTCACTGCACTCTCCAGCTATAGTCAAGGTATTCAGGATGGTTGGTTGGTCTGTCCTTCCCCCCACTTGCTTGCTAAAAGTACAAACAATTTAGGCCACCCTATTCTTTCACTGCACTCTCCAGCTATAGTCAAGGTATTCAGGATGGTTAGTTGGTCTGTCCTTCCCCTCCCACTTGCTTGCTAAAAGTACAAACAATTTAGGCCACCCTATTCTTTCACTGCACTCTCCAGCTATAGTCAAGGTATTCAGGATGGTTGGTTGGTCTGTCCTTCCCTCCACTTGCTTGCTAAAAGTACAAACAATTTAGGCCACCCTATTCTTTCACTGCACTCTCCAGCTATAGTCAATGTATTCAGGATGGTTGGTTGGTCTGTCCTTCCCCCCACTTGCTTGCTAAAAGTACGAACAATTTAGGCCACCCTATTCTTTCACTGCACACAGTTACAGAGCTCTCGGACAAACATACCATGGTAACCCCTTGCCTTGTTGACAGATATATTGCACTGTATTCTCCAGCTATTTAATGAGCACCCCTCGCAGTTGACGAATTTCCCTCCGCAAGTCCAAGACACCTCGTCCCTTCCTCGTTCCCCTGCGACGCAATCTCGTCGCAAGCCACTCCCACTTCAGTCGGTGCCACTAGACGAATCGTTCGGCGTTGCCACTCCCTCCAGGCCCACGGCAACCGATAACAGACCACTTCCGAAGACACGAAAGTTTACAAACTCCGAGGCAGTAGAACAGGAAGTGGGTGTGGCTCCGGGAGGATCAAGGGAGAGATCTCGTTCGCCGACTGTCCCCCGACCGCCCGTGAAACACGTCCACCAGCGCAGCAGTGGAGGAGGAGAGGAGGGAGAACGTGTGGCTGCTGAAAAACCCCCACCTCGTGTCCCCACCAGAGCCGTTTCAGTCACCCACCCCTCGCAGCAGTTTGAGGATTCCCCGGCCGTACCGCCACGACGAGACCAGTCCAGCTTCACCGTCAGTCTCCCAGCCACCGAGTTCCAGTTCGACAAACCTCTAGTCCCTCCAAAACCCCGCGTTCTTGAGCACAAACCCAACCATTCGGGCGGTGCTGTGGGTGGAATTCAGTATGCCACCATGAGATTCTCGCACACTGAAGACGTCGACTCAAACTATACTCAAGTGTATCCAAATCAGCGAACCACGTCTGTCGCATCCAGCGCAGGAGAAAGCGGAGGAGGTGGGGGGAAGGGAGAGGGGGTGACAGACGCAACGAAAGTGGTGTACCAGTCAATAGATTTCGATGTGACTGAAGGCCTCAGGAAGACGAAGGAAGACAGAGATAATCAGAGAAATCGAGAGATCGAATGGCTGCAGCGGGAGCAAAACCTCCTCAAGACCACTCTGACATGTACGGCTAAATAGCCAGAGACTAAATCCTATCATCATACATGTTTGAATGAGAGATGTGTATTCTATGTACAGTATAATAGTGTATTGCGGTAATTTTAATCTCAGAGCCTTTTTATATCCTTCACGTTCATTTTTTCGGTACATTTGAGTCATTTTTATGATTGTAAATTACTTACCTTCCTTATCGACAAGCGTGACAACGATTTTGCCTTTTTTGCAGGCACATGAATAATTGAAATGACAAGCAAACTACCATTATCCGTGGCACAGTCGATGATCTTGCTTCTACATGCTTAAAAACACTTAACCAGCCACGGACACAAAATGTGTCCAGAGCCTCCATAAGTCAATAAGAATTTATATATGGGGTTATGATACTAGGCACTAATACTTTATAAAGCATGAAATACCCATGATGTCCAAGGGGATTATTAAACCTTTCCCCCACACTCTAACTCCTGAAAAGCACCATAATATAATCGTCGACAATCTATTCTGGTGTTCTGATTATATACTCATCTACACGCGAGTTTGACAAAGCCACTAATAATTAAAACTCATGATATTGATGGTGAATGTGTGACAAGTGGACTAGGAGTCTTGAGCTACAAAGTCATCTGGAACTGGGATGAATATGGAGTGTCTTGGCCTCCCGTCTACTGATCTGGAGTAATGTCCCTTTCCTGAGAGATGGAAGAGGTAGAGAGGGAAGAGGGAGAGATGGAAGAGGGAGAGGGAGAGAGGGAAGAGGGAGAGAGGGAAGAGGGAGAGGGAGGAGAGAGGGAAGAGGGAGAGAGGGAAGAGGGAGAGAGGGAAGAGGGAGAGAGGGAAGAGGGAGAGAGAATAACTCTCTGGTGGTGGCCATACCACTTTGGCCATCGACCACGCCCCCAGAGCAATGAGCGGAATTAATAGGACATGAACATACACAATATTACTGAAGGAATGCAACACATTTTGTGAGTGAAGCAAATATTTCGCACATGTTTCTGCCAGTTGCAGTTCCCTGTCACATATTAGAAAATTCTCGAATTCAAGTGACTAGGTAGGCTTGCTTCACTGGTCATTAATTATTACACAGACCACTAACCTGTGATATCTTCAACAAAGAAGACTTGACCACGTGTGATGACTCTCTTCTCTCCACTGCTGACTTCAACCTCCACATCTCCATCTAGATTGACTATGAACTGTCTGACTTGGGGAAATACGGGGCAGAGGGAGGGAGAGAGGTGAAGAATACAAAACCTTGAGTTCAGCAAGAAACAGTATGTAAATGAGAGAGTTGCATAAAAGAGAAGGAGAGAATAGTGAAATGAGAATAAGAATAGCCACCGAAGAATAAGGCTACAGATGACAAACACAGTGATGTTAATGCAAGCAAAAACACAGTGAGAGACGACGGAGATGAAGACATATGACGTGTTTCAGAGACATTGAGAGAGTAGCTGATAAGAGGACTAGCCTGCGAGGAGCGTTGTGCCAGGAATAGTCATATGTGGCTGGGGTATGTCGGAATACTATCACCTCTGAACACCTCACTTTCTCTGACAGGTACCCAATGTCTCCTGCAGTGAAAATGAAACGAAAATCTAAACTAAAATTCACACTAACACAATATCGCTCCTTCTTTAGCCTCTCAGTATTATTGCCCCTCGTTTGCAGAACGTCTCTCCCTTTCTCTGCGTGTATTCGTCTGCATACATACTCGTATAGTTATACCAGAGCCAGTCATGGAGATGGTGAAAGATCCGAAGTGGGTCTCTCCATTCTCGTCTGAGAAGATTCTAGCGACACTCAGCTGTCGTCTGGAGCCGTCGTCTCCACTAGCGGTTGACGAGGAGGACATGGAGACGCGGCCAGAGGAGAGAGATAACTTTCTACTACTGCTGGACCGACGATGAAGGTTTGCTCACTGCATGCTCCACGTGCAAACGCTAGCGACAATTACGCGCATGCGGTAGTGAGGGCACGCTGAATAATTGAACAGAGGATTATTGGTGATGAATACGTTTCAGAGATTGAGAACGGGAAATGAGAATGGAATGGAATGGAGTCTTTGTGTAGTGTGCAGTGAATGCTGGATGGTAAGGAGAAAACAGACAGTGGGTGGTGAGGCAACAGACAGTGGTGGTTGGTGGTATAATGTTCACGTCTTCTCTAACATGTCTCTGATGTTGTCAGCCAACTGCTGGTCCCTCGCCTCCTCTGCGGCCGAGATGAGGGCTCGGTACGTGGCCTCTCTCCCCCTCTCCTCCTTCCACACCTCCAGACACTCTTGTTTCTGCAGTCCGTAGTCTCCCGGGTAGGATCTGGCAATCTCCTTCTTCTGAGCTCTGTTGAGTCCCAGGAAAGGGTGGAGTTTCTCCCACTGAGTGAGGTGGTCCCTGGCAATTACTGCAAGGTGTATGTTGCTGACAACCTCATCTTCCTTCCCACTGGCTTGTGGATCTGTGAGGAGGAGAAGGAAATACCCAATAAAGAGACCTCTACAAACATCCAATGCTTAAATGGTATCATGGGCCTTGTTTTAGCAGAGCTCGCAAGAGGCAGCATCTTGCTCCGGACCGGAATGCACGCCCTTCTCGCTGGTACACCTCCAGCAGTGGAGGACAGCTATGCCACAAACTACACTCCTCCCTGTGATCACCATTGGCTGTATATCTGTAGCTGGATCGCTCCCTCTCGCCAAAAATGTCATCTAATAATTATCTCAGCTCTGAACTCACCAGAGGTGTTGGTAGTAGTGGTGGCAGTGGTAGAGGAGAGAGAGAGGGGAGACTTGGCGGTGGGGGGAACTGCAGAAGATGAAGAGGAGGGAGAGGGTGTGGTTGACTCAGCAGCTGTTCGTGAAAAAAGAAAGAAAAGCATAACAAGACTGTTGGTGGACTAGATTCCATGAGTTGTCCTACACTAGGTGTAGTTGATTTGTTGGCCTTTGGTTTAGCTTTGACCTCGTCATTGACACAAACATCACGTGGTGGTAGGGAAGACTGTTTCTAAAAGAGGCTCACCATGAGTGTTGGTAGTGGTAGTGGAGGCAGGAGGAGAGGACAGGGAGGGAGAGGGAACAGAGGCAGTAGTGGAGGAGACTGTGGAACACTCTGACACTGTAGAGGAACATGAATGAAAGGATGAGTATCAAAATAGGGCACATAGAGATGCAAGACTCACCAGGAGTGTTGTAGTAGTGGTGGCAGTGGTAGAGGAGGCAGGAGCTGTGGAGACAGAGAGGGGAGGCTGGGAGGTGGGGAACTGCAGAGATGAAGAGGAGAGAGAGGACGTGGCTGACTCAGAAGCTGTTTGGGAAAAGAAAGAGAAAAGCATAATGAGACTGTTCCAATTAGAGCTCTCAGTGGGTGGACCTCCACACTCACAGGTAGACGTGCAGAGGGTCAGCCATGGAATAGAGTCCTCGTCAATGTCTCCAAACTTTTCAGGGTTGACTGAGCATGCCCAGATGCCATCTGTAACGACTGCGGGGTGGGGTTTAGCTGGGCGGGGATGGGAGGGGCATACGATGGCTGGGACTGGAGTGTTGTTTGTGTAGCCGATGGTCTTCCCTGCTTTCTTGAGACCTGCAAACACTGCGTCGTGTGCCAGTTTCCACAGCTGAGCTGCCTTCTTGGGGTGGGTGCATAGTGGAGTTCAAAGTGGGTGAAGTGATCGATGAGTGAAACGGTGCCGACGATTTGGGGATGGGGATGGTGAATTCATGACATTGCGATGGAGGCATTCCGGAGCTCCTGCCTCGTTCTGAACAACTCTCCAGGGGCAGGGATGACTGTTCTCGGGGGACAGGAGGTAAGCTACCAGTGGAGCAGAACGTCCCATCAGGGGACCGCTGTCGGGGAAGTGAGAGCCAGGGCTTTCCCGCCACTCACTCGGTGTTCCTCCACCACCTCACGCCACCACTGCAGCAGACACGGCATGAAGTACACGTCCTCCGACATCTCCGCAAACACAGCAGCCCTTTTAGCAGGGTCACAGCTCCTTGGGTGTGAACGAGGTGCTCGTATGGCTCTCGAACTCCCCCAGAACTTTTCCGTCACTTCGCCGTGTCCACGGAACTCAGCTTCTCCCCCGACACACATTTTTACCCTGCCTCATGTGGTAGGTCTCCTCCACCAGCTCCGAGACTTATCCAGCAACATCTGTGGCTCATGAACCCAGCTGGGGCAGGAGGTCGGGGAGTAGCAAAGCCCGTTCAGACCGTCGAATGCAGAGACGTTCGGGGCTCACGACTCGTCATCGATACTCCATCGACTCGATGCCACCTGTCTGGCACAGCTCTCGAGGGACAGCACCTTCTTCCCCAGTTCATTTGCCACCTCCGACGCTTCTGGTACAGAGTCGTGCTCACCGCAACGGCACTTTCACCTCTCCCTTCCCCCTCCCTCGCATTACTAGAAACTCCCGAATGCTCTCCGCACACTCCCTGTGCTCGTCTCTCGGCGTTGCCGCATCAGTGTGAGACAAAGCTCGTCCTGTTTGCGTATCGCGTAGACGGAGCTGCTTTGCTCTGACTGAGGCAGAGGATCCCCTCAGCCTCTTGTGCAGAGTGTCCAGCACTCCGGGCAGCTGCTCGTCTGCCACCATGTCTCGGTGGGTGGCCAGAAACATCATTTTGGCGGGAGGGATGTCGGGGTTCTTGTGTCAGGGACTCATGTCCGCACGCACAGTCTCAGGGTCCCTTCGTTGGTCAGGTAGGCTGGGTACTCCCACACTAGCTCGCCGTCTTTGAAGTAACGGATCGTCGCTCGCTTGTCAAGAGACTCGTGGAGCTTCAAGACGTAGACGAATTGGACGCACCCTGAGGAAGACGGGCATCATCTCCAGAAGCTCGGGCTGGCCGCCAGAGTCCAGCACGAGGAACTGCTTCAGTCGCAGGATGGGCAGCAGGGAGGGAGGAGCACCGTTGATGAGATGTACAAACCCCTCGTCCACCGCAGTCGACAGCAGCAGGGAATCCAGCCTCCTTTCTGCCTCCTGCCGCTCCCTGGCGCTGGGCTTCTCCTCCGAGGATACTGTGCTCTTCCCGGCTGCTTCAGACGTGGAGCTACTCCTCTTCTCTTGAGTTGGCTGAGCTGACTGGCTGGCTGCGGTGTGGGGAGACTGCTGGTCGGGGGAGGCTGGGACACCACTGCTCTGTGCCACTGACTGTTGCCGTAGTATTCGCGACCGCATTACTTCAGCGATGACGTCTGGCAGTTGGTCTAATGTTCGTTTCTTCCACTGTTTTTTGCCGTCGACGTCCACGAACACGACCTCGATTGGTCTTTTCATGACTGGAGTGCTGTGTCGGATGGTGGGAGGGTCCACTCCGAGCAGTGCAGCGAGGGAGCACGTCTTGCCACTGCCAGCCGTGCCAAACAGCAGCATTTTGTCCAGGTCCAGCTCAATGTGGCCTCGTTTCATCTCCTGCTCGTAGATCTGCTTGGAGCGGAATCTTCCTGCATGGGAGTAAAGTGAACATGTTGAAGGGAGTGTAAACCAACCAACAAAGTCCACTGTACCAGTGGGGAACAGCTGCTGCAGGTGGTCCAATGCTCTGAGACTACTGCCGTCACCCTCGTCACCCTCAGTCATGTAGAGAGCCCTTGCCACCAGAGTCCAGGATGGTGCTGGATGTGAGGAGATGAAGGAGAGAATGAGGGCCTGTTTGCACTCTCTGTCACTGGTACACTGTGCCTTGATCCTGTCCAACTCAGACCCTGGTATGTTGGCAAGTTCACCAAACCTCCTCCACAGAGCGTCACTCATGATGTCTAGAACTGTGGAGAGGTTCTCTGGAGTGAGACTGGCCTCTGGGAACATAACAGGAGAGAGAAATTCTTGTGTAACAAGCTGCTGGTTGTTGACAACGCCAGGCAAGTCTTTGTGCTTCATGCAAGTAACGATTGCTACCATAACACACTAAACTGGGGTGTAACGTTAACGAACGGCGTTCCACATCGTACGCATACCGTTCCGTTCCGTATATACATACCGTGCGCGTATATACCACGCGGAGTCGAAGTGCCGCTTTTCCTCGAAGAAAGCCAGCCTCGCTGGAACGCCTTCCGTTTTCTCAAACGCGTTTTTCGTTCTCTAGGCCGCCTCCTCACGACAAGGAGAAGCCCTGGGACGCGTTTTTTTAAAGTAGGCGTAACCCCAGATCGCTAAAGAACTCGAACGCTAATCGCTGCCGTCGGCGGCAGTCAAGGCGCATAAACGACTCGGACCGCGTTGGACGGGACAGTCGGGACGAAAGGATACACGAGGCAAAACTATATACAGCCGCGGAAAGCGGAAAACGGCAAACGGCAAACGGCAAACGGCAAACGGAACGATTCCTACTGAAGGTCAAAGGTCACGGTAACCTTCTTCTTCTTCTTCTTCTTTGTACCTCCACTGAAGGAGAGTAGCCTATGGGGTAGGCAATTATATGAGGGCGAGTAGTTGACGGTGATGCTCGGAGTGTAGACGATGTAGAAACACAACGATCTCTCTCTGAAGTGGCGGATCCTCGATCCAGCGAATTCCCAGGATGTGTTCCGCAAAACCGTTCGGGTCTGAGTCTAATAACGGCGCTAGGTCGGAGGCCGCCAGCAGAGGCAGGAGAATACGGGCAGAAGAGAGGGCGGGGCAGTGAGATATAAAGTGAGTAGTGTCTTCTGGTCCGGATCCGCATAGCTTGCATGTTGGGTCTGAGACGTTGTTCCGGAATCTGCATGTATCTGTCCCGAGACCATGGCAGTTCACTAGCAATCGGATTCGCGTTATGTTCAGTTTCGTGGCACGTGGGAACCCGCGACAGACTAAGAGGTGGGGGATGATCCTGCCCAGCTTCAGCTCAGCGCATTCAGAGAGAGGGAGGTGACTGCAGTCAGAGGTGAAGTCTGCATACTGCTCAGCCAGCAGCAGACGTCTGACAGTCCTCTTCCACCCACCTTGGCTCCAATGGCCAGCGAGTATGATGTTGGTAGGGGGGAATCCATACTGAGCCAGTGTGTTCTGCAGTGTGGGGATCAACCCAGTTGGTGGGTTCTCCAGACGTATGCGCAGTAGCTGGACAGGGAGTGAGTCGGAGGGTAACCGTGAGAAGGAGAATAGGAAGTTCATCTGTCTTTGGTGGATGAGGGCCTTGACATCGAGAATTCCCAAGATGTGGAGAAGGGCCTTGGTGCTGCAGCGGACTGGGAGGCCGAGAAGTGTTCTCAATATTCTTCGATGGACTCTCTCGAGCAGGAGCAATTCTGTCTTGGTGATGTGCCATAATTCAGATCCGTACAGGAGGATAGGTATGCAGAAGGTCTTGTAGAGCCGGAGAGTTGTTGCAGGGTGTAGGCAACCGAAGCGGGCCCCAATGGCATTCAAGCTGAAAAATGCACTTCTACCTGCACTGCATCGCTCAGTAGTTCGTTGGAGAGTGGATGCCGACACTGAGCGGAGGATGCCTAGGTGGTGGTAGATGTCTTTCTCGGGCACTATCTCTCCAGAGACATACCATCTTCTTGACTGGCGGAGTAGATCTCTCGAGTTTTTGGATTCTCCAATCACCACAGTTGCCGATTTCCCAGCGTTCAGTTCATAGTTCCATTTAGCAGCGTACAGTGACACTATAT